TCAGCAAGTCTACTCCTACTTAAATACCAAGAGAATAAAAATATGTGTCCACACAAAAATTTGTACAGGAAAGCTCATAGAAGCATTATTCATAATAGCCAAAAAGAGGAAACAACTGCAATGCCCCATCAATTGATGAATGGATAAATAAAAGGTGTATCCAAACAACGCAATATTATTCTGCAATAAAATGAAATGAACTACTGGCCCACACTACCAACATGAAAGAACTTTGAAAACATTCTAAATAAAAGAAGCCCCTACAAAGGACCACATATTGTATGATGCCATTTATATAAAATGTCCAAATAGGCAAATCCATAGAGACCGAAGACTATTGCCAAAGGCTGGGGGAATGATGAGGAGATGGTGGAGTGACAGCTAAGAGGTGTGAGATTTCTATGGGAGGTAATGAAAACCAGATCTTTATTACCTAAAGCCAAGTGCATTACAGATTCAGAGTTAATCCTTTATAGTAATACTTCCCCTTGATTAGACTAAACAAACATGGAGGAAGGCACCACAGAATTAAGAAGTGGAAGGAAATGTTTTCTATTTCCCCATTTATTTTTTTTGAGTCAAAACCTGAGGTTTTCCTATTACAATGAAAAATAGTCATATGATTTCCATTCAGTGATCCTCAGGTTCTATTAGAAACCTGCCAGGAAAGTAAGAAGAGGGAGCCTCAGATGACTCTACATGATACCAAAAGGGTTTTCAAAACCTTTCTTAAAATAAGACATGGATTTTTTTAGATTCCAAAAGAGAAACCCATAAAATAGTGTTTCAAGGCTTAGGATTCGACAAAGAAAGGAAATATATTTTTTAAGCATTGTGCACATTACACTCTCTTTTTTCATGCTTACCACCACCCTGCAAAGTAGATGATTATCCCCATCTACAGACAAGGAAATTGAGGTTCCAAGACATTCCATGGCAGGTATGGCGAAGCTAAAAGTCAAACTCCAGGCTCCACGACATCTGACTCTGGAGCTCTCCTCTATCAGCTGCCTTTCCACTCACTTCTCATCTGCTTTGGGAAGCTCTCTGCTTCCCCTGAGAAGCATTTGAAGACACCGTACATTCTATTTCTGGACATTTGTATGACCCTCAGGTGGAGGAGGCCCTCACACTCAACCCCTAAGCCAGTGAGGCAAGGACATGACCTTCCCAAGTCTGTGAAGCTGAGACTGGCTTGACATCTCCACCCTTGGGCAAGAAACCTGCGCTTTCTCCCAACCTACAGAACACAGGGACTCTAACCCATACACGCTCACCAACACATATGCCAGCTTGCTTTCTCCAGGCTGACCCAGTAACAGCCAGCTCACTGTACTGCTGGCAGTATCCTTATTGAAGGCTCAGGGTCCATCACATCCCTCTGAGGCTGAGGACAAACTTAACCACTGAAAAGACACAGAACGGTTGATCCTCACCTCTGCTGGAAATGTGCATGAAAAGACCCTCGGCTCCAGCCAAACTGGTCTATTCTCTGCTCTTTTCTCTTTACCAAAAAAAAAAAAAAAAAAAAATTCTGTTTCCTTAATTTCTCCCCAGTGAGACTGTCCACATTGTTCTCCCTACTCAATACCCTTCCCTTTCCCTTATCTGCGAAACTCAGCCTGTTCAGGAGTCTCCCCTCTAGGTCGTCTTCCTTAACTTAATATACCGAATTCACTGAACCTAACACCTTTCCATCATTTTTTGCCTATTTAGGTTGACATATCAAAAAGTAGTATAAGGAAGGCTTACTGAACTCTGGGTCCCCAGTATAGACTCCGACATGAGAATGTGAGAGCAAGTGATCTATTAAAGAAGTGCTCCCAGGACAGGGAGGGAGTGAAACAGGAAGTCGCAGCCTCAGCCTGTTTCCTGGTCACTCTGGGGGATGAGTGAAGCCTCAGAGGCTGACTGGTCTCCAGGCATCCAAGGCCAAGAGACCAGGCTTCCATACTCCACGCTCACGAGTCAGTCGTTGACTTCAGGCTGCCTGGGGAGGGATTGAACTCCCACACACTTCCACTCCGAGTATAGTAGGATGAAGAGGCTATAGAAGCTGATGTCCAATGCTCTGAGGCAAGGTGTCAGGGGCCAACCTTCAGAAACAGAGTCCATCGAAGGCAGGTGAAGGGCACGCCGAACCTACACAAGCGATCTGAGGGGGTCAGGGAGGGTGGCATCATGTCCGCAGCAAGGTCAAGGTGGGGAGGCTTCATGGGCACGTGACCAGTGTATCTGCACAGGATTCTGCCCTCAGAAGGGCCCCACGCTTCTGGTTTAAGAGTCTGTAGTCACTGTCTTGAAATTCTTAGTAATTTTACCTTTGCCTGCATTTCCTAAGTGAGGCCTGGGGGCACTGTGGAGCACACAGTGGGCAGGCTTGGTTCATGTGCAGCCCTGCGTCCCACCACCTGCCACCTCCCTGGGACCAGTTCTCAGCCACTGGCTCGGCCGCCCCCGCCCTTCCCGCATGCTCCGCCCAGTAACTCTTGCCACCCGCTGCCTGGGCAGTGACTGCTGCGTGGGCTTGGGGATTCCAGCGTTCTCCCACCACTGTCCACTAGGAGAGGAGGGGGCACAGAATCAGTTTGGGGGAGCCACATAATCTTGAAATTAGCTACACACTGCCTTATAACGCCAGTGTAATGCTTTTCTATTAATAGCTCTTTTATATTCCTTAGTTTTTTTGTGTGGTCATGCCCTGCTTCCCACGCCAAACGCTTAGATTTTGTTTCTTTCATTTCCCCACAAAAAAACTTGCATATCACCTAGAACAGAATAGTTGCTTCATAAGTATTTTCAGAGGATTAACATAAAGTTGATATTACATTAAAACTGGCAGGGAGGTTCCGATCCAAGATGGTGACTTAAGAAGATCCTGAACACACATCCCTCTATTGGCACACTGGGTCTACAGCTACCAATGGAACAACTGCCTCTGGAGAAAACCTGAAGACTGACTAAGGATGTGGGCAAATGAGAAAAAAAAAACTACACTGAAGCAGATACGAGAGGGTGGGACATAATCTCACCATAAATCCCACCCTCATTCAGAGACCCACAGTCAGGAGAAATTAAAAACCTAGAACTTCTTTTTAAGGGGCAAAGAGTTTGAACTCCACAATAGGCACCCAAGTTCTTAAGACCTACACCTAAGAGACAAGCCTCCCACAACGCCTAGCTTTGAAAACCAAAGGGATTCCTGTTCCCAGGACCCTCAAGGCTATAATGATCAGAGAAACAGCTCGAACCTGGGATCCACCCACCTTGGGGTCCCAGGTCAGAGGCAGCTCATTTGCTTACAACTAAGCATTGGCTTGAGGCGGCTGCTGCTGCTGCTAAGTCGCTTCAGTCGTGTCTGACTCTGTGCAACCCCATAGACGGCAGCCCACCAGGCTCCCCCGTCCCTGGGATTCTCCAGGCAAGAATACTGGAGTGGGTTGCCATTTCCTCCTCCAATGCATGAAAGTGAAAAGTGAAAGTGAAGTCACTCAGTCATGTCTGACTCTTCACGACCCCATGGGCTGCAGTCGAGCAGGCTCCTCCATCCATGGGATTTTCCAGGCAAGAGAACTGGAGTGGGTTGCCGTTGCCTTCTCCTTGGCATGAGGGGAAGGCATCTAATCTAACAGGCATATTCAGGGGCCTGCCGTAACACTCTCCAGGAGGAAGACAGACCATGTCAGAGTTCTCCCTCTGCCAACTCCAGGCGCGTCAGTATACAGAGAGCTTTTGCACCATGCAGTGCCCTGGGTTGGTTGGTTGGTTTACAGCTGCCACCCAACGGACACCTTTCATTGCCCAACCCTGGAGCCAGGCTCCTGGATCCCCTGGAACTGTAGCAGCTGACGACAGTCCCTGGCAGGCTACCACCCCCAGGGCACTGCACACACAGCAGACTGAAACGCACCCCAGGTCTTTCTGAGAGGGCGGCCTACTTACTGGTCAGGAGCTCCGGCTACAGAGCAAGCTTCCGGTTTGGCCCGCTTACGGGGGCCAAGAGAGGGGGCTCTCAGGGAACAGAGGCCTGCGGACATAGTCTTTCTGCCCTCTCCTTCTGCTTTGCTGCAGCTTACCAGTATATCCCAGAGAGGCCCTTACACCTCATCTTAGATTATCTAAGTACTTCAAACTCCCTGACAGAGGGACCTTTCAAAATGAAAACCCTTATATGGCTTCCCATTATCTATGGGGTCTTTAGTCCAAGTTTTGTGACATGGCATCAAAGCTTTGAAAGGATCTGACTTTCTGCCTGCCTCTGTAACACCACCCATCGCTGACTACCCCAAACATCTCAGCCCCATCCCCACACACACCTACATGCAAACCACTTACCTGTTCCATCCTCAAATCACAACAGCCTCTTTCTGGAATGCTTTTCTTCCTATTCCATACTCCCTCCTATACAGCCTGCCAAGTATCTACTCACTTGATTTCCTTATCAACCACCATCCTTTCTTGGCTTAAGACAAAGCTTAGGAGAATCGACAGCAACTACTTTTATCCCCCAAACACAAGTTTCCAGCACTGCATCTACACTTCTTCACGACATTCATTTGTCCTACTAATGGGGACATAATTTGTCCTTCCTTCCCTACTAACTTCTGTGATGTGATCCTTAGAATAAAAATTCTATACTATTCATCTTAATATTCCCAGTATCAAGCACAGTTACTATAAAATAAACACAATGAAGCTCTTTTGGAAATTGTTGGTAAATATAACTAATTAACTTGGTGACCTAAATCTGATGGATAGAATGTGGTTTTATATGAGTGAAGTCTATCAGGTGAGAAAGACACTCACAAGTGGTCCTTGCAAAGCAAACAAGAAAGCCACTTCACCCAAAGTAAATTCTTAACACAAAGTTAAGTCCAGGAACATGTTCAACGGCCGCAAGGTTTCATCCAGCCAAACATTTTCCTGGAGTTGCACCCTTAACATTTTGTGTAGTGCATGAATTCCAGGTAGACCCTGAGAAGCAGACGGCGCCGGCTTACCCGTGTTCCACTTCTCGAATGGACAGGATCACTCCCGACGTCGATGGCTTCTGCTGCACAGTGGCCAGAAAGGTGAACTCACTCTTATTCCGGAAGAGCTGGATTAATTTCTCACTCACATGAGGGGCTGCGTGGATCTCTCTTTCTGCATCTAAGGGGTCAAGGAGGAGAAGAAGGGGTAAGAAGAAACACAGATGGGAAAAGAGGAGGGGGAATACGAGAAGGAAAAGGAGGAAAGACATACGGTTAAAAATGCCTTGTCCGGAGGACCCAGGGTCCCTTTCCCCTTTGCCCTTCGTGTCAATAGTTTCCATTTTCCGGCGCCGCCCACCAATCCACAGGGCTGCCCGCACTCAAGGCAAAGCCCGGAAATGCTGGCCCGGCCATCATGCCCACTTGTCACTTTGACAAGTCCACAATTGGCCAGTCAGTGATTTTCTGACAGGGATTTTGATGGGACAGGGAGCAATTTGGCCTGCTGCAAACAGATTAGGTTGCTGAAAATAGGGTGAGAGGCAGTCAGATAAATGGGGTCCAAAATTCAGAAAATCCTGAGTCTAATAGCATCCAGGGCCACTCAGCAGGCTCTCATTTCCCATTTCCTGTGGCCTCAGCTTCTATCTCTCCACACACATCTAGGGAAATATGTCCTGGCTTTGTGACCAGGAGAGATTTACTAGAGCTAATAATGCCAGACAACTGTGCTTTTGCTAAAAGAATAAATACAAGGCATGCTCAGGATCCATCAGCGTGCCTGGAATTTCTGTGCACATCCAGTAGATGACTGTCCTCATGAAATATTTATTAAAGTTTAGGCCAATTCTGCAGGTCTAGAGGTGTGTGAGTTCGGTGAATCCTGCTCCTAGACAGGAATCTTTCTTTCTGCAACATCCGCATAATGAGAGAGATCCCTCATTTCATACTCAGACTCACCCTTGTCATGATAAAACTGGGTGCCACACCACTATTTTACACTATACTTTCTGGCACCAGAAAGTGGGCACCAAGGCAGTGGAATTAGAGAAAAGTATTCAGAGGATTGGTGGCCTTCTCTCAAGTCAATGTCCTCTGCAAGTGATAGGGTGATACAGTGATACATATGCTAACTACTTGGGTATTTCTCCAGGACTGCCTGAGGAACCCTTGAGAAACATATTATAAAACTGCATTACTTACAATAGCCAAGATACAGGAAACAAACTAAGCGTCCATCAACATACGGATGGGTAAAGAAGCTGTGGTGTACATACAACAGAATCCTACTCAGCCATAAGAATAGAATGAAATACCGCCATTTGCAGAAACATGAATGGACCTGGGCATTATGCTAAGTAAAATAATCCAGACTAAGACAAATACTATATGATATCACATCTGTGGAATCTAAAAAATACAATAATCTAGTGAATATAACAAAAAAGGAGCAGACTCACAGACAATCAACTAGTGGTCACCAGAGAAGGTGGGGGGAGTGACTATACGGGGTGGGAGAGGGGAGGCATAAACTCTGTGGTGTAATATAGGCTCAGAATGTACTGTGCAACACCAGAACATAGCCACGATTCTGTGGGAACTGTAAATGGAAAGAAACCTTTAAAAACTGTATAAAGAGTTTTTAAAAAGAAAAGAAAAACATAGAACTACAAAGGCCATGTCGCCCAAGCAATATCACAGTCTCGTGTTAGAACATTGAACCACCTCATTCTAAAGAGTGGCTTTTAAACAAAAAGAAACCCTCAAATTCTTGACCTCAGGCCTCAGTCTTCTCAACTGCAAAATGAAGGGGATGGACTAGGTTGATGCCTCACAGTCCCCCCGCCCCCAGCTTTATCGCCTATAATCCTACACATTGCCATTTCAAGTTTGCAGCACAGAAAAGAACACAGTCTTCCAGATGTAGGAGTCTAGGCTACAGATGGTGGCAAGTGAGAAATTAATTATTTCCTGCCATGTCAGTAAACAAAGCATGCACAGTCAACAGCAATTGCAGCCACCGCAGAAGGTAAGGTGCTGAGCCCTTCGGAAGGTGAATGGAAGCGGGTGAGCAGGTGAGGGAACTCAGGAAGGGAAGAATCTCTGCTATTAATAGCAGCCATCAGACTACAGCCACTCCCCACAGCTTCCCCTGAGAAACCTCAAGATGGGAAAACAGGATACTGGCCCCCAGATATGTGAGGTGCGTAGGAACGATTTCAGGGAGCCCAGACTCTTGCATCTTTCCATACATAGAAAAGCACTAAATTCCTTAACTTGGGTTACCTGGTTTTCTTTAATTTAAAATAATCTTTTGACTTCAAACTACCTACCTTTGGTTGCAAAATTTCTACATAACCTGGCCCCTCTCCTCCCCTCGTTGGAGCAGTTCCCTCAGGGTTAATTGAGGTGCTGCCTCCCAGGCTTAAGTCCTAAAAATTTCCAGTGAATAAAACATAATGAGTTTGAGTAAGCTCCGGGAGCTTGTGATGGACAGGGAAGCCTGGCGTACTGCAGTCCACAGGGTCGCAAAGAATCATGACTGAGCGACTGAACTGAACTCAACTTTTAGGTTGTGACTAATCTTTTTACGTCCACAGGAGTAACGTTGGTCCTCTACTGAAGAATGACCCAACCCAAGAACACTCTACTCACAAAACACCTACCTGAGTGTCATTTGCCTTCCTGCCTAAAGAAAGGCCTTCCCTACTTTACTATTAAGTGGTATGCTGTCAGGCTTCTGCCAAGGGCTGATATAAGTCACTTAGGAAATACTTCTATGCCTTTTACAAAATTCCAGCCAAAGACTATCCATTGTTGCTGTTATTCAGCTGCTAAGTTATGTCAGACTCTTTGTGACCCCATGGACTGCAGCACACCAGCCTTCCCTGTCCTTCACTATCTCCCGGAGTTTGCTCAAACTCATGTCCATTGAGTCGGTGATACCATCCAACCATCTCATTCTCTGTCGTCCCCTTCTCCTCCTGCCCTCAATCCTTCCCAGCATCAGAGTCTTTTCCAATGAATCAACTCTACACATCAGGTGGCCAGTGTACTGGAGCCTCAGTGTCAGTCCTTCCAATGAACATTCAGGATTGATTTCCTTTAGGATTAATGATTTGAAAGCATCATTTCTTCAGTGCTCAGCATTCTTTTTTTTTTTTTTAGTTGGAGGCTAATTACTTTACAATATTGTAGTGGTTTTTGTCATACATTGACATGATGGTATAACTCTCACATCCATACATAACACTAGTGGAAAAACCATAGCTTTGACTAGATGGACCTTTGTCAGCAAAGTGATATCTCTGCTTTTTAATACACTGTCTAGGTTGGTCATAGCTTTCCTTCTAAGGAGTAAGAGTCTTTTAATTTCATGGCTGCAGTCACCATCTGCAGTGATTTTGGAGCCCAAGAAAATAAAATCTGTCACTGTTTCCACTTTTTACCCATCTATTTGCCATGAAGTGATGGGACTTTCCATAAAGATATTCAAAACCTATTAAATGTATGGACCAATCACTCTGCAAACTAGAGACCATTAGCCAATGTTTGTTAATGTTACTTTTATTATTATTACTGCTGGGCAAAGAGCCTTGCAATCAGTTTCACCTAGAATTTAGTGCCAGGTAAAAAGTCTTGATTGAGATTAACATCTAGATTTATTTTTTTTCCTTTTTGCTACTTCCTTCTTTACTCATCAGTTAGGATTCAACAGATTGGTGGTGGCTGCCTAGAAAGCTCATAGAGGATTCTGAAGCTTAGGCCCAGTGAAAAGAGGGCCATGATATTAATCAGCAGGCCGACTGGGGGAATGATGAATATCAGACTAGTTACAGGTGTCCTCACCTCTCAATTTTCCCTGAGGGATATGATCAAATCTGATGGCCAATGACCCCAAAATTTTACATCTGCAACCCTAACCTCTCCTTTAAGTAACAGACTCATATATGTAATGTCCTCCTGACTATCTCCATGTGCACATCGAATATCATTTCAAGTTGTATCCACCACTGAGCTCTTTTTCTCTCCAGTGACCCTCTACTATCTCCTAGAGTTCCCAGTCTTGGCAAATGGAACAACCCACTTCCTAAGGTCAAAACTGTCCTCGATTTTTTCTTTTTCTCCACCCTCTGTATTCAATCCAAGAACATATCATGAGGGCTCCAGCAGCTGGCATCTGTTTATTTCTTCCTGGCCCCACTCTTAAACTTTTGTTCAAGCTGCCAGCATCTCTCCAATAGCGTCCTCAAGGTCTCCACGCTGCTTTCCCTCCACTGTCGCCCACACACAGCCCAAGTGCCCTGCTTAAAGCAGAAGCCAGGGTCACTTCCATCTGCTGCATAAAACCTTCCACTGGCTTCCCATCGCTCCGAGGGTGAAATCAGGCTCCTCAGCGTGGCCTGCATGGTCATACACAAATTAACTCTTGCCTACCTCTCCCTTCTCCAGCTGTCACTGCATATGCAACCTTTTGGTCACTCCCTCCAACAAAAGCCCCATTAATGTCTTATACGCCACTTTGGTGATTTCCCCACCTATCATGTACTGTGATCAATTATTTCCTGTATCACTTATCATAACCTTGTTCCAGGTTTCTTACTTTACTTCCTTTCTTTCCTCCCTCAACTGTAAGCTTCATGAGTGCAGACATACTTATTTATTCCCTGTTGTATCCACAGTTCATAGCGGCTGGCAGGAAACAGGCATTCAATCAAGATTATTGAATTAATTAACTAATGTATTTTCCACTGTGTATCTGCATAGTTGCTAAGTCAGGTCCGATTCTTTGTGACCCCACGGACTGTAGCCTGCCAGGCTCCCCTGCCCATGGGGTTCTCCAGGCAAGAATACTGGAGTGGGTTGCCAGTTTCTCCTCCAGGGGATCTTCCTGACCCAGAATCAAACCCACATCTCCTGCCTTGGCAGGCAGGTTCTTTATCACTGAGCCACAAGTGAAGCCCCTAAATCTGAGTTTGTTTCTATTTTGCATGTGTATTCATTTGTATTGGTTTTAAATTGCACATAAGTGATATCATAGAGTATCAAACAAGTCTCTTCTCCATTCTTGGCTGCCCTAAACCCAGTGCAACGATGTGGCATAGAGGTGGTAGGAACAGCATTACCACATAGACAATGGGATCAATCATAGGAAAGCCAGGAATGTTGCCTTCCTGT